CAAGATGATTGTTTAACTCTTGTAATCATAAAGTTTTTAACCATAATTCAGATATGAATAATATGTGGTTTATAAGATCGTTCGGTCCCCATCCTTAGGCTTTAATAGATGACTTACTAATTAATTTGTAAAAGGTTTATATTTCATATGTAACAACAATTTAATTTACAACTGATTAACAACAAAATAAATATAAGGGTTTATTAATTGTTTTATAGACTTGTTTTTGAGAATTTTGTTTATGGTATCAGAATTAATGTACCTGTAATATAATTAATTGGTATAATCTGAAAACAAAAAATGACAACTATCATATATGCAAGTAAAAAATAAGTTTATCAGTAGATATTAGTTTATACTAAAATTATTTAATTATAACTTATCATGTTAACTATAAATATTTTATTTATCTAATACAAAATATCAAAGTCTTTTCTAACTAAATGTAAAATTACATGTAACAATTAGTTATTCTTAATTTGCTCAGTTACGCCTCACCCGTTCATGTTATTTTTGCGTTTTGTTGACTTGGTTTGTAATTAATTTAACTTAAGTAATTAAATACATATTGCTGGTAAATATTTTAATAATAATTACAATCAATTAACTATCGAATAAAAATATTATTGATACGAAATAAATTAGTGATTAATAATAAACTTAAATGGAAATAATATTTTTTATTCTAAAATAACCGACAAAGAATTAATTAACTTGTGAATGCCGTTTAATTTAAGTGTTGTTTCGAGTTAAGAGAAATGTTAAATTTATATTTGTCAGTTACTTAAATACTTAACATAATACATAAAAATGGAATCCAATTCATCGAGATCTGCAAAACATGAAGAAATAATTATTAATGATATCACAATATTTCATGTTTTTAAAGATCAAAATGGTGTCGGTGGCGGCGGTTATAACATATTGTTTGTGACAAACGATGATATGGTTTACGGCATGGGATCTAATGTTTACGGATCACTCGGTTTGGGACACAATAGGGCTGTCAATACACCGCATATTATACCGGAATTATGCTGTAAAAAGATACAACAATTTATTAATGGTGGTATTTTTGTTTTGAGTATTAGCTTAAATAAATATGTGTATGAGTGGGGTTGGAATGATCGTGGTGCAGTGACACAACAGTTTTATAAAAGTCCTGTTCGAAAGCCTGAACTCATCACATATTTAAACACTAAAAACATTTGTGAAATAAGTTGTGGTTCCACTCACTCACTGGCACTTAGCACCGATGGCCAGGTATATGGTTGGAGCTATAACCATCATGGTCAGGTGGGGATTGATAGTTTGGATATGTACATTGATACGCCACAAAATTTGCATTTTATTGATTTGTATGGCAATAATCATCAGATCAAGAGCATTTATTGCTATCTTAACTATTCGTTTGCCATAACAACGGATGGACTGGTGTTTAGTTGGGGTCAAAATCTTTACTTTAATTTAGGACACAATATAACACCAAATGTATTGAAACCAGAGATAATTTCGGATTTATATAATATTCAAACCGTTGTTTCAGACGTATGTAAATCATGTTTCCTTACAACTGATGGTTATTTATATTTTTGCGGAGCAATCGATATATTTATCTATAAGAATTTCACAGTTGATAAAACACCCACATTATTCAATGACAATCAATCACAAATAATCAGTTCAGTGTATAATTATAATATAGTTATAATTGACAATAGATTAGCTATAAATGACCAGTGCAACAATATCATGTTTACTAAATATACAAATATATTTGATTTTTACACAAGTGAATTACAAATGACACACAAAACAATACATTTATGCGATTTTAATGATTATGATTATAATTCTATCGAAAAATTTAATACAAAATGTATACAATTTTTACGCAAATTATTTGTTGATATTAAACAATCAATCGAAGGTAATATTATTTATGCATATTTATATATTATGTTAATTTAAAAATTTTGTAAATTTACTTTTATTTAGATAAAGAGGGTCGATTTCAGATAGAGTTCGAAAAAACATGGTATAATGTGACTGCATTGAAGGACGTAACTCGATTAATTGAGTATACATCTGGCACTTATGATAAATATTATGACCAATTTGGCAAATTGGGTTCGGGTACATTTGGCACTGTATATAAAGTCGGAATTAAGGGCTTGTTAATTGACTCAACGCTAGCTATAAAAATAATAAAATTCAATGGTAAATTTTGAATAAATTAATTATGGTTTAACATTTTGCCATTATAAGAGTCTGGTTTTATAAAATGTTATGTTATTTATAAATTATTCAATATATTTACAGAAAAATTCAATTGGGAAACATGTGAAAAGGAATTGAATAAATTAATTAAAGTTCAGTCAGAATATGTAATCCAATATAGACATTTTTGGATAGAATTGGAAATTAACAAAATGGACGTATGTCATAAAGTGTTTATTTTAACTGAATTATGCGACCAGAGTTTACAATCATTCTTCGATCTCAAAGGCCAGGCGTTTGGCCGCCAATCGGCCGAAGAGGCCATGAATTTGTCGGAGTTTTTCATTTCGTGTCATATATTCAAAGAGCTGTTGGAATGCATACAATATTTGCATGATTTGAGTCCAGCAGTCATTCATCGGGACCTCAAACCCGAGAATGTGTTGATTGCATATAATCCACAAAACGGACGATTTTTAAAATTATGTGACTTTGGTTTAGCGGTATTACACGAGGGGTCCGGTGTTATAAGACATACGGGTTGTGTGGGTACAGATCAATATATGGCAACTGAAGTGCGACTAAACAAAGACTATAACACAAAAGTGGATGTCTATAGTCTGGCAGTCATTGCTTCCCAACTCTTTTGTTTAAACTGTTTTGAGTGAGATTTAAATTTTATTTACAGTATCATTAATATAAAACTTTAAAGATTTTATTTTAATATTTTAGTACAAATGATTTGGGTATCTATAAAAATTATGAGCTTCATGACAAAATCGTGAATTTAGAAATATCATTGGTTTCAATGTCTACTCGAATACCTGATAATAGACCCGATTGTCGACAAGTATTACAAGAGTATCACCACTGGTCTATTGATGCAAACAGTGTTATAAATGATCCAATATATAAAACAATTATAAATAATATCAGACAAAATGATTGCTATTTTTTCTATGAGTATTTGAGAACAACAATTGCCAAAAATTTAATAACAGAAGAAAATGATAGCATTGATATTGATATTAAAAAAATCAATTTATTTCACGTTTTCGATGACATCAATGGTTATAATGTATTGTTTGTGACAAACGATGATATGGTTTACGGCATGGGATCTAATTATTACGGATCACTCGGTTTGGGACACAATAGGGCTGTCAATACACCGCATATTATACCAGAATTTTGATTTTTTTAATATCAATATCAATGCTATCATTTTCTTCTGTTATTAAATTTTTGGCAATTGTTGTTCTCAAATACTCATAGAAAAAATAGCAATCATTTTGTCTGATATTATTACGGATCACTCGGTTTGGGACACAATAGGGCTGTCAATACACCGCATATTATACCAGAATTATGTCTACAAAATATACAACAATTTATTAATGGAATTAATTATGTTTTGTCGTTGAATGACAATAACCGTATTTACGTTTGGGGCGATATTGAATATTATAAAATTGGAAGGTTAATGGGATATAAATATTTCAAACCTAAAATCATAGAATTTCCTAAATGTAATGTAAGTGATATTTGTTGCGGTGCTAGTCATTCATTGGTATTGACAAATGATGGAGAAGTATACGGTTGGGGCGACAATTCATATGGAGTGTTGGGATGTAATAGTAGTATAAATAATGCAATTGAAATTCCGATTAAATTACAATTTATTAATAATAATATTGAATGCAAAATAAAAAACATTTATTGTAGTCAGCAATCATCGTTTGCGATTACATGTGATGGCCGTGTGTTTAGTTGGGGTCGAAATCAATATAATTTGGGACACAATTCAAGCGATAATATATTGAAACCGCAAATAATTGCCAATTTGTTTAACATACAAACATTATGTCCGACGGGTAGTCATACGTATTTTATCACAAACGACGGTAGTGTTTATTATTGTGGTAAACGTATTAACCAACACTATTTGATATCAGTTGAAAAATTAATCACAAGATTTAATGGTAATCACGAAATTAATTTGGATCGTATACTCAGTATTTGTTTATATCAAAAGCAAATACTCTTAACTATTGGTATATATCGTAATAATATCTATACTTTTGACAACAGAAATAATTTGCATAAAACTTATTACACAAATATATTTGATTATTACCTAAATGAAATGCAAATGACATATAAGACAATACATGTATGCGATTATAAAACTTATAATTATAACACTATGGTGGAATTTCGAGACAAAAGTGAACAATATTTAAACGCGTTATTTATCAAAATGAAACAATATAATGGTATGTTTATATTTTAATGATTATTTTAATATATTTTTATTTTTACCTATTGTGTTTTATTTAGAGTAGATAAATGACCTATGTTTTGTATTATACTCCAATAGTAATTTACTCGTATTTTAGTAGCCATGTTATACGTTAACCAGAGTACAATTGGGGATCTACAGATTTAATATGAGTCATATAAAATAGTCATAATTTATTACTCATAAACTTAGATTGCCCACAGATTTAATCTAGTTCATTTAGTTTGGGAGATATAAGTAAATCGGAGGCGTACGATTTTGTTGACGGACTAAATATTAATAAATCTTTATTATGAATTGTAATTTTATCTAATTTAATATAAAATTTTTTTCAATCAAGTTAATTCAACAATTAGGTTAAACGAATATAAAAGCATGTACCAAGAGTTGTCTGTATTGGGTTCGGGATGTTTTGGCACAGTTTATAAAGTCAAACATAAACACCTAAAATGCAAATCCGCGATAAAAATTATTGATTATGGTAACGTTTTTGAAAATCTTATTTATCATTAAATATTTAATAAAAAGTTTAAACAAAAAAATTCTCAAATAATTCTTTAACCGTAGATCTTAGATCAAAAGTGGCCACGGGTCTTAGCAAGTTAACAAATATTATTGCTGAAAATGTGGTCAAATATCTAGATATATTTAGGGAAGAGAACCGTTATTATATACGAATGGAGTTGTGTTCTGAAAATTTTCAGTCAGTCCTATCACTGAAAGGCCCGGCGTTTGGCCGCCGATCGGCCGAAGAGGCCATGAATTTGTCCGAGTTTTTCATTTCGTGTCAAATATTCGCAGAGCTGTTGGAATGCATACAATGTTTGCATGATTTGAGTCCAGCAGTCATTCATCGGGACCTCAAACCCGAGAATGTGTTGATTGCAGTCAATGCCGGCAAATGGCGGCTAAAATTAGGTGACTTTGGTTTAAGTGATGTCTTTCAACGTCTGTGTTATAAAAGAGATGCGAAATATTTATCGCCCGAAGAAACTAATGGACAAACTGTTGATTACAAGACAGATGTTTACAGTGCGGCCAAAATCGCACGAAATATCTTTGATTTACAATTAAATAATGAATTGTGAGTATATTTTAAAATCTGTAATAAATTATAAAATAATTTTTTATTAAATTATTAGTTCTGAATTGTATTCTTCGGACAAAACTCTATCCAAAAGTGTGACTGAATTACAAAAAGTTTTGATTTCTATGCAATCGTTGGAACCCAAAGATAGACCCGATTGTCGACAAGTATTACAAGAGTATAACCACTGGTCTATCGATGCAATGCATGTCACTAATTATCCCCACTATCTAATTAATTTAAATGTTAAAAAATTAGATGTTCTTATAGGAAATGATCCTTATTCAAAGTTATATATTTTATCAAAACTAGAAAAATTGACACAAATATAATAAACATGTCTAACACGTTCATCCATGGATTATCCCATGTTATCGATAGGCCTTTAAACTCATGAATATTCTATATTTGCAAACGAAACAACAGTTTCATTGTTTTTGATTATTTTAATTTTGTTTAACATAATTAATTAATTAGTTATTAATATTTATAAACTATTTATTTAAAAACTTATAATTCTAGAGTTATTTTTTTGGTTTATTTGTCGTATGAAAAGCAATTAAACAAAGAGTTGGCGAAAATATTGAGATAAAAAAACATTTAAAACATGCTTTATATCAGAGAAATAAAGCTCAATACTCAGCAGTAAATAGACAAGAATTGAGTCCATTATCTATTCGCACCAAAAATAAGTTTTATTGTTTTTGTTAATTTAAATTTTGTTTTTAATTATTTTGAAATGTTTATGATTTTTATTTTAATAAGACATTTGTTGATTATTTTTGTATTAAAAGCAATTACAGTAATTGGTATAAAGAGTAATATCGTAACAAAAACATAACAATTATATTGTACTCTATTAGCAAATGAGAGGGATAATGCAATAAAGGCGGTTATGAAATATATTGATGTATGCAAACATTTAATGTAAACATACAATGTATCTCTTATCTGATTAATTATTGATTAATTCGATTTATATAACTAATAGTAACCAATAATTACTAATAGTAAGTATAATATTATTAGGCATTAGTAGTTATTAGGGCTGAAACTTTGATATCATTTTGGTATCATTTTTTATATATTAAAGTGTATTTGCAAATTACCACAATGGCACTACATTCATAGTGTGTTGCTTATAATGCGAAACATATAAATGACTAATACTACAATATATAATAAAAACACAAGTTTCAGCCTTAGTAGTTATGTTCAAATATTAATATATAGTTATTTTTATATTATTAGTAGTAAATATTAAACTCCTTTGTTTAGTTCGACTTAAAAGTAACTAAATTATTTAAAATTGTTTAATTAATGTAATTAACAAAAATGGGATCAAAATTAGCAAAACCTGAAAAAACTGATAAAACAGTTATCGAGAAAATTAAATTGTTTCACGTTTTTGACGATAGAGTCGGTTATAAATTATAACTTATAATGTATTGTTTGTGACAAACGATGATATGGTTTACGGCATGGGATCTAATTATTACGGATCACTCGGTTTGGGACACAATAGGGCTGTCAATACACCGCATATTATACCGGAATTATGCCACAAAAGTATTGAACAATTTATTTGTGGTTTTAATTTTGTGCTAGGTATTAATGCCTATAAAGATGTGTATGAGTGGGGCAGTAATAAATATGGACAATTAGTCAATCATGCTATCAATAAATGTTTCAAGCCTTACATTATATCGTATTTTAACGACAAAAATATAAATGATATTAACTGTGGTTTCAATCATTCACTGGCGCTCAACACCGATGGCCAGGTATACGGTTGGGGTTACAATCGATTTGGTCAGGTGGGGTGCGATAGCACCTCGATCGCAATACCGTTACCAAGACGATTATATTTCAGTCATAATAATAATAAGTTTAAAATAAATAGCATTTATTGCTGTTATAACTGTTCATTTGCTGTGACAACGGATGGACTGGTGTTTAGTTGGGGTTTAAATCATTTCTTCAATTTGGGACACAATCTAACGGATAATGTATTGAAACCGCAATTAATTGTGAATTTAGTGAACATTCAAACCGTGTGTTCGTCCGGAAGTGAGACTTATTTTCTCGCAACCAATGGTTTCATTTACTTTTGCGGAAAATATAAAAATTCAAATAACGATAATTTTATTCAAAAAACTATTAAATTAATAAATAACCATGATAGATTAGCAACTGAACTCTACCTTATAGACTCTAACCAAAATAATTGTTGCATAACAGCTGCCATTATTAACAATAGGGTAACAGTAATTAACTATTCAAACAAATACGAGGACACAAACTATACAAATATATTTGATTACTGTTTAAATGTGTTTCAAATGACTTGCAATACAATTAATTTCTTTGATTATAAACACTATAATTACGATAATATTGAGAACTTTCGGTTGAGATGTTTGCTATTTTTACGCAGAATATGTACAGATATTAACCAATCAATTAATGGTATAATTAATAGTTGTTTAATTTTATAATTTAATTATAATACAAAATTGAATTTATTTTTAGATAACAAATACGAAAGTAATAGTGAATTAAATGATTATAATAAGCGTTTTGATGAGCTTGGTAGAATTGGATCAGGATCATTTGGCACAGTATATAGAGCTTTACATAAATATTCTCTGAAAGAGTACGCGGTTAAAGTGATTGAATATCATGGTAAGTTTAGCTACTAAAGTTATTTATTTTTATAATAAGTTTAAGCTAAGTTTACTTTAATTATATATTACAGTGAATACTGACATGAAAACAGTTGATAGAGAACTAAATAACTTAATAAAAGTTCGTTCAGAATATGTCGTCCAATATATCATGTATTGCCAATACAAAAGAAATGGACAAAAATTGCCAAAAGGTTTTCATTCAAACCGAGTTATGCGGTCAGAGTTTAGGGACAGTTCTATCACAGAAATGCCCGGCGTTTAACCGCCGATCGGCCGAAGAGGCCATGAATTTGTCGGAGTTTTTCATTTCGTGCGAAATATTTAAAGAGCTGTTGGAATGCATACAATGTTTGCATGATTTGAGTCCAGCAATCATTCATCGGGACCTCAAACCCGATAACATTTTGGTATCATTTAATACTTTAAACGGCAAGTTTTTAAAACTATGTGACTTTGGTTTAGCGGTATTACACGAGGGGTCGGGTGTTATAAGACATACAGGTTGTGTGGGCACAAGTATTTATATGGCAACTGAAGTGCGGCTAAACAAAGACTACACAACAAAAGTGGATGTCTATAGTCTGGCAGTCATTGCTTCCCAACTCTTTTGTTTGGATATTTTTGAGTAATATTTATGTCATAATTATTAGAAACAAAATTCAATATTTATAATTAATTATTTTCTTAGAGCAAATGATTTGGAAATTTATAGAAATTCCGGCACTTTTGACAAAATTTTGACTTTAGAGAAAATATTGATTTTAATGTCTACTCGAATTAGGGTGACCAGAACGTCCTTTTTTATGGGTTTTGTCCTTTTTTCGACCTCTGAAAACAGTGTAAAAAAGGACGCGTCCTTTTTTTTAATTTTAGTAATTTCAATATAAAAGGTTAATATGTTTTAAAATATGGAAAATATCATTGATTGCTATTCACTGTAGATCGGTAAAGCTTTAAAGTTGAGACATTACAGCACACAAACAGTAAATAATAATAATAGAGTAGAAATATAATTAAAAATGTTGTATTTGTTAACAGAAAACTATTATAAAAATCAAATCATTTTGTTTATTAAAAGTGTTTTCATTTAAATATTCATATAAAATGTGAACAAAACAAAGGAAAATGCAATGGGTTAAAAAAAACTTGGCGTCCTTTTTGTGTCCTTTTTTAATGACTATTTTATATCAGTCGTCCTTTTTTAAGGGAATTTTTGGTGGTCACCCTAACTCGAATACCTGATAATAGACCCGATTGTCGACAAGTATTACAAGAGTATAGCCACTTGTCTATCGATGCAAACTGTGTGACTACTGATCCAAACTATAAGACAATTGTAAATAATGTTAAATAAAGTGATTGCAAGTTTTTATTTGAATATTTGTGCAAAAAAATTACACATAAAATAACAAATAAGCAAAATATGACATTTAATTACAACAGCATTAAAATATTTCATATTTTTGATGACATAAATGGATATAACATATTGTTTGAGACAAACGATGATATGGTTTATGGCATGGGATCTAATAATGAGGGATCACTCGGTTTGGGACACAATATGTCTGTCAATACACCACAAGTTATACCAGAATTATGTCTACAAAATATCAAACAATTTATTAATGGATATAATTATGTATTGTCTCTAAATGACAATAATTGTATATACGGCTGGGGTAGTAACGTGTGGGAACAATTAGCAAGATCATCTACAGAGCCTTATTTAAAGCCTAAAATCATATTATTGCCAAATAATTACGCTATATTGGATATAAGTTGTCGTTATTATCACTCACTTGTGCTGACCAGTGATGGCTGTGTCTACGGATGGGGCGGTAATATGTTTGGACAGTTGGGTTGTGATAAACCGGACATGGTCAAAATACACACTCCAATTAAAATACAATTTATTCACAACGATATTGAATATAAAATAAATGGCATTCACTGTCACAGGTATTCATCGTTTGCCGTCACAACCGATGGCCGAGTGTTTAGTTGGGGTCGAAATCAGTGTAATTTAGGACATAATACAAGTGATAATGTATTCAAACCACAAATGATTGATAATCTGTTTAACATTCAAACGGTGTGTCCGGCGGGCAGTCAAACATATTTCCTCACAAACACTGGATTTATATATTTTTGCGGCAAATATATTGACAATAATAATGTGCGCTCATTAAATAGAAAAGTGACCAAGATGTTTAGTAATGACAAAACTCTTGATGATTTACAAGCACTATATTCAATTCAAATGGACTATTTTAAAGTGATTGGTGTTTCAAGTAATAAATTATTTCTAATTAATTTAAACAACAATTTGTGTGAAACTAATTATACAAATCTATTTGATTGCTATTCAAGTGAAATGCAAATGACATATAAAACTATACATTTATGCGATTATAAAGACTTTAATTACAAAACATATGAAGCGTTTAGTAATAAATGTGAATCTTTTTTAAACAAAATGTTTGTTAAGATAAAACAATTAAATGATGGTATGATTTGTGTGAATAAATAATATAAACATTTATTAATTTAAAATTTAATTTTCAGAACAAATTAATAACAAATTAAATGACTACAAACGACGTTACCATGAGTTGTCTGTATTGGGTTCGGGAACTTTTGGCACAGTTTTTAAAGTGAGACATAAAACTGATGGACAGGAATATGCGGTGAAAATAATAGATAACCCTGGTAAATATATTAATACAAATAGTTTAATGCAAATTTTTAACTATGTTAATAATTTTCACTAACAGATCATAACTATGATAGTAATGTACCTAAAGTTATAAACAACTTGTTAAATGTTTGCAACCAATATGTGGTCCAATATATCGATATGTGGTTTGAGGGCAACCGGTATTACATACGAATGGAGTTGTGTTTCGGGAGTTTACTATCAGTCCTATCAATGAAAGGCCCGGCGTTTGGCCGCCGATCGGCCGAAGAGGCCATGAATTTGTCCGAGTTTTTCATTTCGTGCGAAATATTTGCAGAGCTGTTGGAATGCATACAATGTTTGCATGATTTGAGTCCAGCAGTCATTCATCGGGACCTCAAACCCGAGAATGTGTTGATTGCATGCAATGCCGGCAANCTGTTGGAATGCATACAATGTTTGCATGATTTGAGTCCAGCAGTCATTCATCGGGACCTCAAACCCGAGAATGTGTTGATTGCATGCAATGCCGGCAAATGGTGTCTAAAACTCTGTGACTTTGGTTTGAGTGAAGCCTTCAATCGCTTCACTTATAAAAGAGATGCGAAATATTTATCGCCCGAAGAAACTAATGAACAAACTGTTGATTACAAGACAGATGTTTACAGTGCGGCCAAAATCGCACAAAATATATTTGATTTACAATTAACTCGTAAATTGTGAGTATATTTTATAAACAGATATAATTAATTTATAAAAATTCTAAAAATATATAAATTTTTTAATTAATTACAATTAATATATTTCTAGTTTACATTTGTATTCTTCGGACAAAATTCTGCATAAATGTGTGAATGAATTACAAAAAGTGTTGATTTCTATGCAATCGTTGGA